TGCTATCCGGGCAAATGGAGCCCATCAATGCTTGCAGACTATTGCTGGACAGTGACAAGAGATGCTCCATTTAATGAATACAAGAGACAAGCCAAGAAGCGTTGAGTAGACACTGAATAGGACTAAACTATGTACATAATAGTTTTTTGCCTTTTGTTTCATAATAAATGTTATTTATATAACCATTTTGCTGATTTTTAAAGTGTTACATAAACAGGACAGGTGAAATATTATCATGTAAAGCAACCATAAACACATGAAAAGTCCTAGGTTTACAATTTATGATTAAAACTCTACTATCTACACAATATACATAGACATAAAATGTAAAAACTTAAATATCTTAGAAACAGTAGCCAATCAGTTGTTTTAATTGTCATATTTGAATTCAGCACATCAAAATACATAATAAATAGCACATTTTATCTCTGAAGCAGACGACTTCTCAAAAATTGTAGACCAGTGTTATCTTAGTGTGCATTGGTCAAAATTTTGCTCCTAACTCTAGAACTGACATGGATTTGAAAACCATATTAAGTTTTCAGAAATGTAAGCTTGGAAAACCTAGGACACGGTGTACTAATGTATTGTCCCTGAGAGGACTTTTTTATACAGGACCAAGAGAGTTTTTTCAGGTCTCTGTGGCCAATTGTAGTCTCTTGGTGGGATGGATAGGGGAGTGTCTTCTAAGCCGAAATAGGAGGGCTAGATGAGATTGTTCCTGGGCTCACTTGATGGCTGTGAATCAGGGACCTTGAGTGTTTGTCCTCACACCCCAGGACTTACTATGGACCTTCTGGGGAGGTGAAATGTTTGGTTTTCCCCAGACCAGTGGGGTGTTCCCTACCCAGGTCTTCTTGCCACAGAAGAACTTTGCTATAGCAGTACTTATAGAAGAGTTCCTTATGCAGAAAACTACAGAGAATTACCTATGATATTATCAGCACAGGGGAGGGCTACTCCCTGAAGCCAGGAAAAAAATATCTCTGGGATGAGGGCAAAATCTGAGGTAACCTTTAAAATGCAATTGCTTTTAGAAGACAAAAACTGGCCTTTGACTCTTGTGAATTTTGCATTTCAAAGGAGATGTCATTGATTAAACTGCACTGTCAGAAACATAAGGGCAAAAAAGCCTGTATCATAACATAGCAGAGAAAAGGTCTATGTTAAAAAAGTATTCACTTACTCAATTTTCCCTTTTTTTAACATAAATGTCAAATTAATCAATTTTATGGTGTGATGAATGTTATTGTTGAATTATTTACATTTCTCCATAAGGATTCCTTTAGAACACTGGCAGCAGTAAAAAATATAAATAAGAGAGATGAGAATGTATTTCAGGTTAATAGTCACATTTGAAAAGGTTTCAGTTTTCAGATTTTGAATTTATAGACAGTTTTCTAAAGTGGCTGGAATTTTTGTACGTGATGAGTGCTTCAGAAATTTTTGTACAAGTTAAATATTTTCCATATTAATGCAGTAAAAATGTCTGTTGCCACTTTATTATTTCTGTTGCATCAACAGTGTGCTCAGTACTAAGCAATAGCAGTAAAAACAGTGACCCAGAATTGAGGTGTGGTTTGGTTAATTTGTGCCACTCTGGAGTCTGGGCATGGAACTGGCATAACCAGCCCTGGAGTGATCACCCCTTGTGTAGGAGTTGATCTGCTAATTCCTGCTCTTTGGGCTCTTGGCAGCTGCTATAATTTAGAACAGCCTTCATGGAAACACAAACAATGTGGGCCAGTTTCTGCCTTGAAGAGTCTACAAACTTCAGGTTCTGCAGTCTGACCCACAGAGACAGATTTGCCCATGCAAAGCTCCTTTTACTTCACTAGAACTCCTCACAGGGACAGGGGTCTACAGACACAACCCACTTCCAAGATTGTGGCCTAAAAATAGACCCATAGAAGATGGGGGACACAGAAAACCCTAGTTGGAGAAGAGCTGGTGACCTTTTCATTGCACATTGCACCACTGTTATCTGAAGGACTCATATGTGTACTACTTATTATCAGGAGGGAATTACAGATATAGTCTGTTCAGTTTTGGAACTAGATACATGAACTCCAGCTATTAAAGACTGTAAGTCTTTTTTCTTCTTTTGCAGAATGGAGGGACACCTCTTCTATATGCAGTACATGGAAATCATGTGAAATGTGTAAAAATTCTCTTAGGTGAGCACATTAAGGATAACATTAAGAAATCAAACCTAAAATAATGTTATTACTGATAATGATAAACTATTAATTACCAGCATAATTTAGGGATTTTTTCCCTTCTATTTTACGTAGAAAATGGTGCTGATCCAACTATTGAGACAGATTCTGGCTATAATTCCATGGATTTGGCTGTGGCTTTAGGCCATCGGAGCGGTGAGTATTTAGAGCCTTTTAGGTTTGGCTATTTTTATTACAGTTTGTTTATGTAGTTACAGTAACAGTGCTTTACACGTGTAAGAAGACAAAAGTCCCTGTCCCAAAATGGTTGTAGATTGCTAAATCTGTTAGGCTGTTGTTTGTAGTTGATTATGGGCTAATTAAATATCTTAATTATGTGAATGTTAATTGACTAAACTTACGTTTTATTTGTTTGACTTGTGCTTTCAAAATCCATTAAAATGTTAGCTCTAGCAGCATGTGCTGTATACATCTTACAATATGTAATTTAGAGGACAGACCTGACTTGTTCAAGGAACTAGTAACAGATACAGAGTCTTTCACCTCTAGTTCGTGAGCCCAGGTCAATAGTGAAAGAAAGTCACTGTTCTTGAGCCATGTTTTTAGGCACAGTTGGGAGTGTATCTAATTTACAAACTCCTTTGTCTATGTGGAGACAACTGTACCAGAGGAGGGATTTATTCTAGGAGAGGGCACTACTACCCCCTCCACCCCGAAGGGTTTGGCCATAGGAAGACAGCATTAAACTGTGTGTGGGGATACACAGGAGCCCTGTCTGCTGAGGCTGCCCTCTTTCTCCTGGCAGCCTTTCAGCCTGAGTCCAGCTTTCTCTGAGAGGGGAACTTTGTTGTTTGGTTTTTTGAGCACTTGGGCCAGGCCTCTGCTGTCATGTACATTAAATAGTCACAGTTTTCTTGGACTTACCTCTGGGAACGATTTGAAATTGATTGTTTTTTCATCTAAAACCACAAGCATTTCCTGGGGGGAGAGGGCATTTCTTCTGGGGTCCTGCATGAAAGGCTGGCAAGTTTGGCTATCCATTTTTAGGGCCTCCTTGGTTGTACAGAGTCAAAAAGGGGCCTCTTCAGTGGTGACCCTGGCTTCTGGACCATGTGAAATCTTTGTATTTTTTTAAACCCCGAACTAAATAAAAAATGATAAGCCCACCCAGGCATGTAACTGCTGCAAGCCCCTGGGCTTATGTTGGAATTGATAACTTCATGGATGGCTCAGATCTGGAACCCATAGGGGATTCAGTGTGTAAATTCTGAACACCGAGGAAAATCACTACAAAGTTTTCAACAGTGACTATGATTTTACCCCCTAGTACTCACCCACTCTCCACTTCTAGGTTACAATCCCCCCATGCCCTACCTTAACCTATCCCATCTACATTTCCAAACCAGACCATGGCTTCCTCCCATTCTCACTCAACATGCTGGCCCTCTGTTAGCGTATTCATTGTTTTGCATTATATGATGCTTTAATTTTCATAGGTGATACAAATCCGTAGTGCATTAGTTCATGTCCTGTACAATCATCTAATCAAAATAAACAAGTCAGCATCTAGCAGTAAAATACAACAACAGTAGTGATTTGGAAATCATTGAACAGTAATTAACTAGGTTGTTTCTCCACTTTAGTTCAACAGGTTATTGAGGCTCATTTATTGCAGCTCCTTCAAAATATCAAGGAGTAATGGCCTGCTGTTCATAGAAAATTGGTCCAGACCTGAAGATTTGGACTGTGTTTTAGCCCCACAATCAGTGATAAAGGCTTGTTAACTTATTTAACTTTACCTCAGTGAAAATATTTGCTGGTTTTAGTAAGATTTTAGTACACTTTCTTTATGTATTTCACTGATGTTCATAGAAATCTGTGATAATTGATCCTTTTGTAAATGTATTTTATGTAAATTTTAAAAAATGTAATCAATGTGTGTTGCATGAAAACCTTGAAAAAAATATATAATTATAGCTGCGTAAATGTTCACATTAAGTACAGTAGTTGACTTTCTACAGAGTATTCCACTAGGTTGTGTCAATGATATGGTATCCACATAGACTTCGTTTTAGATTTTTAGGTGTGTACCACAGAAGACAAGTTTCTTTATTGTTTATAGGACAAAAAAAGTGCACAATGTGTGGTTGTTTACAAATTCTTATGCAGTTGAATTAAAATACTTGTCAATTTCTGTATTTGTCTGATTAAACTGTTTTTTTGGGGGGGAAGCAATTCGGTATTGGGAGAATCAGGAAGTGGTAACTGGCTCCCTCATAGGCTCCCCTCTGCTTTGCCAAGCCTAAACTCAAAAAGGCAAAGAATGTGATTCTTTATCTTTGCACAAACAACAAATCAACTTCTGAAACAGAATGTTAGAGAGTTTCGGATTCTTAACACTGTTTTTCCACTACATGTACCTTACACTGTGCTGTTTAAGAATTATCCTCAAAAATATAAGAGGATGAAATTAGCACCATGTAAAATGTATACACTGAGCCTCAGACAAAGGGCTTGGGAAGGCCCATGGACCCCCAGACTAATCTTTGGGTCAGAGCCAGAGATATAATAAAATACAAAATACTGGTTTCATCATTTCAAAGTGAATGAAACAACCAGGGGGCAAATTTAAATAGCTACATGAATTTAGCTTGAATTCGAGCCAAATTCTCCCCTAATTTACACCTGGTACAACCTCAGTGAAGGTACAGTGTAAGTCAGGGCAGAATTTAGATTTTGAATTTTGGTTGCTAGGAAAGCCAGTGAAACATCTGTGACAGTGAGATCTCTTTCAGAGAGTGAAAATCTTAGCACGAACCGTAAAGAAGGAGCTTTGAACAGAAAAATGTCATTGATCTTGCATGGTTTGGTAAAATCCTAGTTAACGCTGACTGAGCATTATTATTATGTGTACCACTTCATCTTTCAACATCTTTAACTGCCCTTTTTCTTATGTGGGTGAGGTCACCCACCTTCTCGCTCTAATATCCTGGGACCAACACGGCTACAACTACACTACATACTTTTTCTTATGTAGCATTTATATCTCTTGCATCCCATCACAGCTCTAGTTAAATTATATATATTCATCAAGTAAAAAGAACAAAAAATCTGAGGTCAGGGGGAAAGGTAAAAATGTTCTATTATAATTTTAGAAGTAGATTAGCAAGTTCTTAAATCTATTGCTTGTACTGTGAGTAAACTCTTTAATAATAATAATTAATAATTAAAAAAAAGCCGGAAGGAGATGGTAATTATTGTAGAGTTGCAATATTGGAAATATTTAGATGTAAAGGCCTTTGTGGGGAAGTTAGCTGATGTTTAAAATTGTTTTTAATTGTTTTCAGATCTGTTGATACATTGTATCATATACTGCAAACCATTTTTTCTTGAAATTAATGGTTTTATGATCTGTCAAATACTTCATTTCAAATATATTTCATGTATATATGGCATATAAATATGTATGAAGAACAAAAATATCCTTTTTCCTGTGGATTTATATAATAGAAAGGGGGTCATTTAAAGTATAAGCATTCAATAGCTGTTTCAAATTTTGTTTTAACCTTCAGTTGGTACTGAATAAATTGAATTAATATAAATTAATTTATTGCTGTCCAATAGTTTTAAAATGTGATTTGACCTAACTTGGATTTTCAGATTGGGTGGATAAAAGATAGAAGAAATGGAAAGAAACAAAGTAGGAAAAACGAATTGTCTTCACCTTTTTGCTGTAGACTTTCAAACCATTTTGTGGGCTCTACAGTGATGTGTCATACAAATGCCTATGAATAAAGTTGAAAATGTTCATCTTTAGAAAGTTACCTATTTTCTGAAGTCAGGAGCACTTTCTGTAGCTTGACCCTTTGCTGTTAGAGCAGTGCAACTGGAATTGAAGTTCACTCAGATGGCACTATAGGGAATAGATAACAGTGTTTCATGAACTATGATTCTAGCATCCTGGGGGAGGTTCAGTCAAGAGCAGGAGAACTGGGAAGGGAGAGTTTAGGTGGGGGGAGGGGGGCGGGGAACTCTTCTACCTTTATTGTTCTGTTTTCATTTGAGTCAAAAAAAGTGCAGACATCTGTTACTGTTCTGTATTCAACAGGGTGGCCCTGGTCCACATGTAGGTGCACTTTTTTATTATTATTATTATTGGTGTAAACACTACTCAGTATAAAAATACAACAGTGGTAAAAAATACAAAAGGGTTTGTTTTGTACCTTAAAGGAGGAAAATTGGAACAAGCTGAGAAACCCTGATACAGTTACTCACATTCCAAAAGTTAGACCACCACACTTTCTTTGATAGAATAAATGACTTCTTTAGCCTTCATATTCTGGGTCATATGGTTTTGATGGTACTACTGGTTACCTGTAAGCCAAATCCTGGGTTTGAATATAGACGTATCTTATGATTGGGCCATAGGACTGGGAAATGAGAAGGTTCTTAATTTTGATTGCAGCTCTTATGCCGACTCCCTCTGTGACTTTGGCCAAGTCTCTTGATCTCTCTTCTTCAGTCTCTCCCTACGGGAAATCAGAATAATGCTTCCCTACCTACCTCACAAGGATGCTGAAGTGCTCTGAAAATGAAGGATTTCTTTCTTCTTTCCAGTGTAAATCAGCAAAAACTCCAGTGAAATTAATGGAATACGGCTGGTGTGAGAGAGTAGCAAATCAAGCTCAAAACATACTGTGAAGTGCTGCAAATTAGTAGTCAGCCAGGAATTTTTTCACAAAATGTTTTTGTTGGAAAATGCCTAGTCATCAAAACTGAAAACTTTTATGGGAAAAGGTTGGTGTTGATGAATTTCCCTTTTCAAAACATTTTGGACTTTTTTTTAAATTGTCAATGTCCCATTTTGGCATTTTTGAAAGAAAAAGTTCAATTTTTGGTTGAAAACAACCTGTTTTGTTCATTATTTATTATAATTAAGAAAAAAATGTAAATTTTTTAAAAGGTCAAAATCTAAAGGAAATGTAGAAATTATTGAAACAAAATGTTTTGACTGACCCATTCCAAAAAACATTTTGGATTTTTGGTATGCAAAAATTTAAATTTTTAACATTCCATCCTGATGTAAGAGAAGGTTTTGTTTTATATCTCAAATTCTCATGGCACAAGAAAACAATTTCCCTGCACAGTTCTACCAAGTGTTATATTCAGTGTTGCCACTCTGCATTTGAGTTAGTCAAAAATGTTTTTTCACAGAAAATTTGATTTTTTTTTTTGCAGAAGAAATAAAAAAAAAACCAAAATATTTCTATTTGAAAATACTGCCATGGTGTATCACAGGAATTGTAGTTCAGGAGCCTTATGCTCCAAGTCTCCTCTACATGCTGAGCTCCCTGGTTAGACTGTTCCCCATGGTACACCACAGTCTCACATATTGAGAAGGAAAGTGGTGCATATTGGGAGTCCCTGACCCTGGTGTATCATGGGACACAGTCTGGCTTGGGTGTCCAGGCTATAGAGGAGAACAGTTGCCTCATATCCCCAAACTATAACTCCCATGAGGCCCTGGAGCTGCATTTCCAAGTTGAAATATTTTGATTTTCAGATAAAATATTTCAATTTTGGGGCATTTGTTTTTCTGACAAAAAGATCAACATTTTCCTTGGAAAGTAGACAATTTGCAAAAAAATGTTTAGTCAAAAACCCAGTTTTCTGATAAGTTTCAACAGAAAATTTTTGGCCAGCCCTACTCTGCATACCATGGGCCTGATACCACCAGAGCAGCTCTTCCATCCTAGATTTATTGCAGTCTGCCTCACAAAGGACAGACTGCTTGTTACGGTTTTATGTGGTGCAGTATCCAATACATTTCCAGAGCGATGTAAAAGCCTTTCTCCTGTTCATTCATATTTCCAAGTTGCAGTGTATTGTGATCTACTTTGTGGAGGGCACATAATAAATTAATTAGAACTAAAAGTACATGACTGCAATACATTGACAGCTGCTACTTTGTTAGTGACAGGCTGAGATCACTTGGCAGCAGAAGACAGCCTTGAGTGATCGTAAAGACAGGCTAATGAAAGCCAAAGAAAAAAGTGAAGCTCTGTTCATGTAATCCAGCAGTACGAGTTACATCAACTAAAAATTGAAAATTAACACTTCTGCTTTCCATGTCATTTCAAGAGTTAATGATTTAGATGGGGAACTGTTATTTGGCTTGTGGTCATGATTAGAGAAAGGGGCAGCAGTGATGGAAAGATAAAGAATAACTGCAAATAAAACACTTTAAATATTTACACTATTAAAAAAGGTCTGTTCATTTAATAGTCCTCATAAGAGAATATAAATAGATACACAATTTACACAGCAAGAGATTACAATCCTGTAAAGAGAGTTTTATACAAAAGATGAAACTTAAGAACTTGTTTTTCTGAAATCCATACACATCTCCCTGTGGTAGCTTGTAATGATTGGCAGGCCCGAAGAAACCATGCAGTCTTTTAGCATATGTGAATTAGAGCCAGTGCTCCATCCAGTCCAGTGTCTGCCTCTAACTGGAGCCAGTAACAGATGCTTCAGAAGGAGATGCAAGAATCCCTATAATGGCTAATTGGTGGGGGGTGAGGGGGGGGTCTGTTCATTAGGGAAATTTCTTCTCAACCACAAGTAATGGGAATAACTATTATTTAGTGTCCAAAGTGTGCTAGGCACTTTATAAAACTGCTAGGCTGTATATACAACCCTGCTGCTTCTCCTCTGCTATGGGGCCCTGCACTCTTGGCTCCACTCTGTTGCCCTCTCGGTCCATCAGCCTCCCAGTCTGAATTCCTCACTTGTGCTTATGAGACAGGTACACGCAACCAGCCAAACAGAAGACACTTCCAAAGTTTAAGCAGCCAAAGGTAGTCTCTAGGGCTTTCCCTTGTGTCCTTAAGCAACTCCTGCTGCTGGCTGGAGTGAACCCGTATGGGTATGTCTGCACAAGCCTCCTAGCCCAGATAGATCAGTACATCGCACTAGTGGGGCTCAAGCTGGGACACTACAAACATCTGTGTGGACTCTGCAGCTCTGGTGGAGACTTGGGCTAGGCACCTGAGCTCAAGCCTGGGGGATGTGATGTTATCTAATTAGAATATGACCATGCAAAGCATTGTTGCTACCACTGTTATATAATTGCAACAAATCTTATTCAAAGTGTAATACATGGCCAGAAAGGATTAAGCATCCTGCAGGCTAAATGACCCAGAGTCAACCTGTAGAGCCATGTTAGAAAAGTATATAAATGGTAATTAGGGCCACTCCATGTTAGATAGGCTAGAACAGGGGTCGGCAGCCTATGGCACGCGTGCCAAACATGGCACCCAAGCCAATTTTGAGTGGCACGCTGCTGCCTGCCACGGTCCCGGCCCCCAACCCCACTCAGCCTGCCCGCCCACCACTCTCCCCTGCGGGGGCAGGAGGCAGAAGCTTGGTACTGCAGCAGCCAAGCTTCTCCCTTCCCCCGCTTCTTCCCCCAGCGTGGTGCTTTCCGGCCCCTCCTCCTCTCTTTCCCTGCGCTGATCAGCTGATGACCCTTGTGAGGGGGAGGAGTGGCAGCGTGGTCGCTGCTCCGGAGAGGAGGCAGAGAAGAGGTAGGGATGGGGCCTTGGGGAAGGGGATGGAACAGGGCATATCCCTTCCAGCCCCCTGCCATGAGCTGCTCAGGGCAGGGGGCTGGGAGCACCCCCATGAGCTGAGCACCCCAGCCCTCTGCCCTGACCCCTGAACCCTCCCACACACATCCAGCCTTCTGCCCTGCACCTCCACAACCCCCAGCCCTCTGCCCTGACCCCTGAAATCCCTACTCCTCCAGCCTTCTGCCCTGCAGCCCCCCACACCCCCAGCCCTCTGCCTTGACTCCTGAACCCCCCCACACACCCAGCCTTCACCCCTGATCCCTGAACCCCCTCCCCACACCCAGCCTTCAGCCCTGCACCCCTCCACACACCCAGTCCTCTGTCCTGACCCCTGAACCCCCCACACACCTCCAGCCTTCTGCCCTGCACCCCCATACACCCCAGCCCTGACCCCTGAACCCCCACACCCAGCCTTCTGCCCTGCACCCCCACACCCTCCAGCCCTCTGCCCTGACCCCCACACTGCCCTCTTCCCTGACCCCTGAACCCCCCCCACACCCAGCCTTCTACTCTGCACCCCCCACACACCCCCAGCCCTCTGCCCTGACCCCTGAACCCTCCCCCCAGGTCTGGGGTCCCGGCTGCCGGCCCCTTGCCAGCTGGCATCTCGGCCGCAGGCCCCGATCAGCCCGCTGCCGGCCTAGCGGAACAGAACCCCAGGCTGGCAGCGGGCTGAGTAGGCTGGCGGCATAAGATCAGCATTTTAATTTAATTTTAAATGAAGCTTCTTAAACATTTTGAAAACCTTGTTTACTTTACATACAACAATAGTTTAGTTATATAATATAGACTTATAAGGAGAGACCTTCTAAAAACGTTAAAATGTATTACTGGCACGCAAAACCCTAATTTAAAGTGAATAAATGAAGACTCGGCACACCACTTCTGAAAAGTTGCCTCCCCTTGGGCTAGAACTTTGAAGTTCAAACCTGTATTGTTAGAGAATTGGAGGTGATACTAACTGTGTATGTATTTATATCATGTTAGATGTTAGCCATGTAAACAGACAGTTTCTGTCTGTCACTATAGCTATTAATTCAGCGATCAAAAGGAAATAACATTTAAATGAACTGTAAACATTGTAAATCACTGTATTCATCTCTCTTTGAAATGTATAGCAAATCACCTGAGAATGGTGGAAAACGGGCAATTGCCTTATGTTAAGCCATATAGCTAATTATCGGTGATGCTTAGGAAATAGGTCTATTTCAACATCTCCATAATTGCCTATTGTGCACCTGAGGATTCCGAGCTGTCAAAGAAGACCTAGAACTGTATGAGAATGTCTGGGGTCCTGATCTTTTTTATCTCAGATCTGCTTGATGCTTCATGCAGGGGAAGCTTAAGCCAAAAGGCTGAGATCTCCAGTCCTAACCTGGAATCACTCTGAATATAAACATTGGACTATAACCTATTGTGACGATGCGGTTCTGGCGGAACCCAACTGAGAGTGCCAACTCAGGACAAATTGCTTAAATAGGGCAGTTACAGCCCAAGCCTGGGGCTTTGCCACCTCTAAGGCAAACCAAACCAGCCAGACTAAGAGGACTTCGGTATCACCCCACTGGCTAACCACAAATCTCACAAGCAATTTCCTTAGAAACTCCAGTTTCCCAGTATCACCACCAGTGCCACTCATTATGGGAACAAATGGTTATGAAAACCAATACCCCAATAAAAGAAAAAAGGTTCTCCGGATCCCAAAGGACCAAGCCCCAGACCCAGGTCAATATACAAATCAGATTTTACCCACAAATCACGCTGTTGCCAATCCTTTAGAATCTAAAATCTAAAGGTTTATTGATAAAAGAAAAAAGATAGAGATGAGAGTTAGAATTGGTTAAATGGAATCAATTACATCCAGCAATGGCAAAGTTCTTGGTTCAGGCTTGTAGCTTTGACAGAATAAACTGCAGGTTCAAATTAAGTCTCTGGAATACATCCCCCGCTGGGATGGGTCCTCAGTCCTTTGTTCAAAGCTTCAGCTTGTAGCAAAGTCCTTCCTGAGGTAAGAAGCAGGATTGAAGACCAAATGGAGATGAGGCATCAGCCTTATATAGTCTTTTCCAGGTGTAAGAACACCTCTTTGTTCTTACTGTGGAAAATTACAGCAAAATGGAATCTGGAGTCACATGGGCCAGTATCCTGCATACTTTGCTGAGTCTGAAGGCATATTTGCCTTCTCTCAATGGGTCCATTGTATAGCTATGGTCCTTAATGGGCCATCAAGCGGGCTAGGCAGAGCTAATCCCAGCTTGTCTGAGATGTCACCCAGAAGCATAGCATAAGTTTGCCATAGAGACAGTATAGAGCCAATATTCATAACTTCAACTACAAAACTGATACACACATATAGACAGCATAATCATAACCAGTAAACCATAATCTTGTCTTAGACACCCCATTTGACCCCCTTTATACAAGATTTGGGTGCCACTACAGGACCTTGGTTGCAACAATGATCTATATGGTCCCAGTTTATGTCAATAACGTCACACCTATGAACTAATTCTGAAAGAACTCTTTGTAATTGCAAAGTTCACCATCTCTACTATGAATCTGAATCTCAAGAACTGTACTCATGTCTGTATGTATATGGTTCTTTTAACAATACCCTCTCTCTTTTCTTTTTTAATAAATTTTAGTTTAGTTAATAAGAATTGTCTGTAAGCATGTATTTGGGTACGAGCTGGAATATTCATTAACCTGGGAGGTAATGTGTCTGATCCTTTGAGATTGGTAGAACTTTCTTATATTATGAATAAAATTTTCAGTAATCCTCATCATATTTGACTTGAGTGTCTGGGTGGAGGCCTAAGGCTGGGTTGCTTTAAGGCTTCTGGGTAACCAGTAAGGTATTATAGAAGCTGTTTTGTGCTGGTTTGTTAAATCTAAGTATTGGAATATTCACCAGCTTTGGGGATTGTCTGCCCCTTTCTTTGCAGTTCACCCTAATTGAGTAACTCCAGTGTGGCCCCCCAGGACTCCGGTCACAGGGAGTTTGAGCCACCTAGCCTGAATCACTGCTGGAGCCTCAACATCCACACCAATAATTTTAGTGCACTAGCTCAAGCCCTGCTAGCACAAGTCTGTCTACCTGAGCTGGGAGGCTTGCTCCCACCTGCAGTGTAGACATATCCTTCGTGGGGCCAGCTGGGAGTTGGAGGCAGGTTCTGGCTACATGACCACTCCTACCCTTTCCCCACCGCCATGTTTCATGCCTCCTGGGCCTCTCGAGAGAGCCGGCCTTTCATTCCCCCAGTGCAAAGAATACAATTGAGCTTAACCTTTGCACGTGGGGGAAAGAAGGCTCCTGGCTCCCCTGCGTGTGCACCCTTGCACAGGCTGATCACAATTTGGCCCTAAGTTAAACATAAAACAACCTGGGATGACAAACAAAGGATCACAACAGGGTCAGATTAGAGATACTTCTTATTCCATTTGCATTTTACTAGTTTGTTTGTTTTTTTTACTTTGTCTACATCTGGGGGCAAAACCTGGACGGAGGCTGGGAGTGGATGTCAGTGATGAAATGGCAAGGCACAGTACAGCAATGCATTTCATTGCTGGCAAGTCTCTCTCTAAAGTTTGGTTGTTAAAGACATGTACTAGCAAAGGGCCCTGCTCTTACTGGAGCCAGGTGTGCACTTTGTCATTTGGCTTCAATGGGAGCAGCAGAAGATACAAAATTAACTTCTCTCCTGCTAGCTTCCTTTGTCTCATTCATCCATCCACTCCCAGCTTGGTGTGATCTTTCATGTATCCTATACCCTTCAAAAAGCTCCCAGTTAATGTATTCTAAACTCCCTCCCTCCCTCTCCCTTCTACACCTGAGGCTTCCCATCTATAGTGACCATATATAAGGTCCTACTTCATTCGCAATATTGCGAAAACTGCAGATTCCGCAGTATTAGGTTTTCACCGCAATTTTGTTTTAAATGACCTTACTTTGCCCAGTTCACAATTTTGCACACATTTTGAGGTTTGCAACACACACTTTTTCCCCCACTAGTACATTAAATTATTTTGGAAAGATTTGGGATTCACCTGCAGTTGTACAGCATTGTCCAGAGACAGCAAAGGGATCACTTTTGAACTTGCCTGATTATGTGGAGGCCGAGCGTGCAGTATTTCAGTACGGACAAGTCTTCACAAAGGAAAGACAGGGCATGAAGGAAACCACTGCAGCAGGGTTTACTGCACTAACATTCAATGCCTGAAAAATGTAAATGGCTAAAGTGACTGGGCTCAGTTTCTACAGCAGTTGTATTAAGACTTTTAGTCTTTTGAATTTTATATTGTACTGGTCACTTTTTTAATGAATGTAATATAGATGCACCAAATTGCCTGGTTATCAAAAAATTTCACCGGTATAACAATAGTGGAGTGTTTATAGAATTCCAGCAATTTTTGCTTAAGCAAATAAGTCTACTGTGGCTTTTCCAAATTACCTCTATTAATAAAAGGTCCATTATTACTTATCTGTGATTTTCCATGTCTTGTCTGCAACTCAGCTGCAATTATTTGAAGATCATCCCGTGATTCAGGTGGGGTCTTAACCATATACCATTTTCTTCATGGTAGTCCCTCCCAGGTGCTTGCTGCTTGGTGTTTTTGGTGGGGATGTGGCTGAGCTGGGAGGGGCTGAAGCCAGCATTTGCTGCTCTGCAGCCTTCTTCCCCTTCACCCTTGTGTGGATTTTCCATCGTGTTTTTGAACTTATCAGCATGCTGTGCTGTTACTCCTCCTTCCCCCCAACCAAGGATAGGTTTGGCATGGGTGGGGAGCCAATGGGAGTACTGCAGCACAGTATCAGGCTTCCACATTGTCTTGAGATCCATGATGGGAGACCACAACCCTTGGCCATACCAGTTGGAGTAGGCTGTGTTCCAAAGGGAAAACTCGCGAGTCCCACTCCCTGGCCATTCTGCCGTCTCTCATGTAGAGATGCTCTAGCTCTCTGCGTGTAGCTAATTCAAACCATTCGTCTACAAATGTTATCCAGGTCTGAAGAAACATTCTGATTACGGATCTCTCAAGGGGACTAAAATCAGCCATTAAATAGTAATAAAAGAGTAGTTTGGTATCCACACAAGGAATCCTGTGAGCCAGATTTGAAAACTGTCCACTTCCTATCCTTTATTCTTGGCCTGTTTTCATTATGCCTCTTATGTTTCCTTGTGCAAATAAAATGGCCCATCTCAAGCACACTCCACAGAGTAAACATGCCTTGAGCAACAATCTCATTGTCAGTCATTAACGATCTGCCCTTTTTATAGCCATGACAAACTAGGACTAATTTTAGATTTCCATAGAGAAGGTGCCTCTTTTCTTATGCCTCATAATTTAATAACTTTTATATGATTTTGAAGCAAGCTTTGAGTCCTGAATCAACTGAGAACATGTATAGAGAGCAATAAACTAGAGACAAAGGTATTTTATTGCTCTTATTTTTATTTTAGGATTGCTTTCATTTTTGGACAAGCATGTTGGAAGCAGTATATCATCACCAATGAAAGATGCAGTCAAACAGAGTTTATCCACAATTTCAGGTAATCTATTCCTCCTAAATAGTTCACATTTACTGCAAAATGAACCATATGTGACTCCATAGTCTCATGACTCACTAAAGAAAATGTTTTTCATCATTCTTATGACGGGGGATGGAAATAAGAAAAGGCTGATCATGTGATGACTGCTCCAGTCCTTCACTCCTACACCAGAAAGATGGTTGTTAGCATTCCAGCACACAGTTTCCCTGACCATTGTGGACAGCAATGTTTTCTCCAAACAATGGTATAAAACCATGGAGTGTAGACATAGCCTGGCAATGGACAGATCTTCATTAGTATTGTTATAGCAGTTCCGCTTGCATGCACCTCCTGCTGTGCAACATGTATGCTTTCAGGAAGTACACTGCAATGTCTGGCAACGAATGTATCAACTGGGTGAATTAAGAATCCAGTCACTTGGAACGTTAAAGATCAAAGATATTGTTAGGGGTTATTCCCAGGGAAGATGTCTGAATAGATCTCTCAGTTGAGGTTGATTTGTCACCAAATGAAGCTAGCAGTTCTTTAGGCATACAGGACTGAAGGGCACATCCGTCTTCAGCAGACAAACACTGATGAAGTCAACCATGCACACAAGAGAATTAGAGGATCTGGGGAGAGTAGCAAAACTAGGTGGAAAAAAGGAAACAGTCTGGAACACAAAGTAGCCACAGCAGCAAGAGGGCCAGGAAGGTGAATTGCAGCAGTTTATCCACACACAGATCCTTGTATGTTTTGTGAATTTCCTGCTGAAGGAGGCTAAGTAATCCCAGGTACCCCAAAGAAATTCTGAACTGTTAGAAACCCAACAAGCAGCACTGCTTGTATTGGTGGTAAATTACTTGGACTCATTTGTTCTGTGGAGCAGCTGCATGAAAGGGTGGCGAATACACCACCTTTTCATAGCCAGCACAATTTTATGATATGTTAGTATTTTGATTTCTCCGATACAAAATGTGGCCTTAGGGCTGGCATTCTCTTCACATACTGTATCTTTGAAATCCAGTTATTTTCTTGCATGCATCCTGGGATAATATGTTATGAATGAGCCAACCCTTCCAGAACATTATCAGACAGAGAATGATGGATGTCATGTAGCCCTTTTAGCATGTTTAATGTGCTGGCACTTATCTATGTTACACCGATCCTGGGGCCTTTAGGCTGCTCTAAATTACACTGGCAGGAACAGTCTGTTGAAGACCATTCCTCTGGCTAGGGATGACTGGAGCATAACACACTCCAGTCATGTCCCATCATATCCCCACATTGCACCAATCATGTCCCCCTATTCCTAACCCTGGAGACAAGAGTGGCTGGCTGGCAGAGAGCTGGCTATGATGGCTTTACACCATCCAAGAATCCCCCTGTACCAGAGGGATCCCCAGCTACCTCTATAAGGCAACTTTCCAGCTCCTGTGTGCTGTCTGAGCAGTGCAAAGCAGCCAGAAGGGTGACTGATGATCATTTTTATATCTCTGTCTCCTATCCCTTGTTTGTCCCTTGTCCTGGGAACAAAAATAAAAATGCCCAATCAAAAGCTGGAACTAACATGCTACATGCTCTATGACTTTGGTATTATATTTTGTCCAGCTCTCCCTCACTTAATTTGGTTTTTGCTTTCCTCCCAATCCTGTAAACACTTACACTCCTGTGTAACTTTAGAGGATTGGGACCTTAGATTGTAAAATATGTGGCACATTGTGGTCTGCATCATGCAGGGGTCAGACTAGATGATTATAATGGTCCCTTCTGACCTGAAAGTCTATGAGTCTATAAGGCCCAATTTTGTTTGGCACCTTTGGGAATTGCCATAATGCAGTAATATAGAATATTAATGTTGGTTGAGTGGCCTGCATAGAGGCCAAGCAATTTTAGAAACCAGTTTGACTGCAATGGAACTTAAAGTGGGGTTCTACTCTGAAAAAAGTACTGTAAAAATGGTACCAGCTTTCTTCCTTTGGGTATTCAGAGCCATATCTGGCCCATTTTAGTGGCTAAAATGAGTTTTCATTGCTTTTTGCTCATGTTAGCCCTGCAGAGACAACACAGTTGACACAGAAACTGGATTTTATTCTATTTTTTATTAAGTTGCAGATAGTTTCACCCAGGGATTATGACTGTAGGCATAATGTGACAGGATGGGTAAGGAATGGTGTCCCTAGCCTCTGTTTGTCACTGGAGATGGATGGCAGAAGAGAGATCACTTGATCATTACCTGTTAGGTTCACTCCCTCTGGGACACCTGGCATTGGCCCCTGTCGGAAGACAGGATACTGGGCTAGATGGACCTTTGGTCTGACCCAGTATGGCCGTTCTCAGTTCTTAACAATATGGCTTCATATATGTAGCTGAGGGACTGATTTTGCCTGCAGAACCTTTTTTACAGGTCCTAATGCATGAGAAGCAAAGACCGCAGCTTAACTCTTAGATCCCAATTGAGTCTTCAGGACTGGCAGTTAAAATATCATTTTACTTGTAAATGGAGCACAGTTGCTATGGAAATCGCTGAGACACAAACATGGAACCTCGCACTGTCACTTAAAGGTCACTTTTCAGAGCAGATCTGACCTCTAGACTGTGTTTAAATGTTGTTGTAAAGCCAGTGTAAAAGAGGTCTTAGTCTGCTCCTCCATTACTGGCTGACTCTCTTGAAATAACAGGGCTCAGGCCTGGTGCGACCTAGCAGAGTTCCTACAGTCAGCATATTTCGATATTCTCAGTGGCTCCTTTTAAAAAAAAACAAAAAAAAACACTGGATCAAATTAGCTATTTAACCTGTATTGCAGTTGGGTTTCCTCTAGGACCCAGAGGTTTCTTAATATATGGAGATATACCTATCTCATAGAACTGGAAGGGACCCCGAAAGGTCATCGAGTCCAGACCCCTGCCTTCATTAGCAGGACCAAGTACTGATTTTTGCCCCAGATCCCTAAGTGGCCCCCTCAAGGATTAAACTCACAACCCTGGGTTTAGAGGCCAATGCTCAAATCACTGAGCTTTCTCTCCCTCCCTTCAACTGCAGTGTCATGAGAGTGGTACAGCCAATCACCCTTTGGGGGAGAGGTGGAGGGGCATTATGGTCCTGCGGCTTAGTTTGAATGACTGCCGTATGGCCCAATGTCTGGGGTCGACAAGGTGGCCTTCCTATGCTGGGCTTTCCTATGAAGCTCAATAGCCAGAGTCAATGGGGTTTCCCTCCCAGGTGGCACTGCGTGGCCTAATGGCCAGAGTCAATATGACTGCCCTCTCTATCAGGGATGTGTGGCCTAATGGCAGAGATCAATAAGGCTCCCTTTCTGTCAGGGCTGTGAGGCCTAGTGGCCAGAGCCAATAGGGCTGCCCTTTCTGTCAGGGCTGTGAGGCCTAGTGGCTGATGGGTTGGAGGGGTAGGCTGCCACCTCAAACTGGGTGGCGGCTGGGGAAGGGGGACCCAGGCCCTCCCTTCTCCACTGGGTCCCAACCCAGGGCCCTGGCGGTGGCAGGGTTGCCCACCACCAGCTTGGCAGGGATCCTGCCAAAAAAAATGCTAATCTCTGGTTCTACGACCCATTCCCCATTAAATTCCCATGGGTTACTTCCGACCCGTTTCTCTGCAGCTTGTCGTCTCAGGGTTCATGGTCTCTCCTCCCTCTGTGGCCTCAGAAGCCTGGAGGTCATGGGTCATCACCATCTGGCTGCCCTCTGAATCCTGAAATGTCAGCAGTCCTTCCACAGGAGCCTGCAGCGCACCTCCACTCCCTCTGGCAGTCAGCCTAGGCTGAGCTAAGTTGCTCCCTTTTATATCCTGGTTCCAACTGAAGCATGCTCAGCACAGCTGAGGGAACATGGCCTCCTTGGCCCATGGAGTAGGATTAACCCCTGCTGAACAAGTGCGGGGCTGGTACACCCCATCACATGCAACAGGCAGAACTCTCAAATGTCTTTGAATTCTTAACTTAGGAAAAAATTAAATGAAACACCAGTTCTGCATTTTAAATGAATAGCAATATTAAATTATTAATAAAATATTTGTAACAGCTGTGAACACTTGACATTTAAGCATGGAACCAGCAGGCAGTGCACAAAGAGTCACATGACGGTTGCAGAAGAAATGCATTACTCAGTGTGTTTGGAAAGAGGGTTCGGAGTGAGGCAGAGGTTGCCATTGTATGTTATCTGAGACCTGTGCAGCATATCAAACTGAGTGGGAATAACTGAGAAAGTGTAGCACAGGCATAATGTGGGTTATGATTGGATACCATAGGCCAATATAATCAGCTTAGGTTGCTTTAAATTACTTCAGGCCATTTTGATCTTCAACTGGCCCAGGATCGAGGGTGAGAGGGGCAAAAAGTTCCCTTAGAATTTACACTTTGCTCAATGGAGGATAGAGCCTCTAATTTCTAAAACCTACATAATAATAATTGGCATAGAGACACAATGAATAATAATGATAGTACTTATGCATCTCAATACACTTTACAAACATTAATCAGCCTAAGATTTGTTCAGAATCGTTAGTAAAGCAAAGGGCTTGGGCTGTAGTTCCAAAGCCATAAAAGCATAATTAATCCCTGCAGAACAGAGGACTATTTATTAGAATGACTCTTGCCTTACCAAGCTATAACTTCAGTGTGGCGTGTAGGTGACAACAATAAACACTCCTGCTTAAACATACTTCTCACAAGGGCATTGAATCTAGCAACAGGAAATGTAATATCATCATGTAAAGTGTTTTCTTTCTGCTGGGCACCATCATTCCCTACTGGTGAGCCATTTATGAAAAGTAATTACAGAAGAAGAGGGATTATCATGGCAATAGAAAAGTCAAAAAGACCTGTTCTGCTCTGCTAAGTGCTTCAGCCTAAGGGCTCAAATAACTCACAATTTTAACCTATAAATTACTGCTTAAAATCAGATTTTAGCACACAAAAGAATCAGGGTAAATAAAGTCCTGTTCAGTATCACAGCTACAACATTAGCTCCTTCTTTTCAGTTTCTCTAAAACTATCCAGGTTGATTCACAAAGCAAGATCAATATTTTCCACTGGATGTGCAGTATCACTCAGATAACATGGATAGAGAGTTTTACTTTCAGTTCCTTCTCCATAGAAAGATTTCATTAGAACTTTCAAATCCCATTTCATGCTCTAAATGCCTGCTCTAATGCCCACTAACTTCAATGGGTGCTGGAGCAAGCCCTAAGTCAGGAGTCTAAAACAGGTGTTAAGAACAGTCTAGAAAAGTACACAACCCTGTTCCATGCATTTATGAAAACACAAGATGTGCCCAACATTTGCATTAATGAAAGGTCCTTAAATTACAATAATATTGCACTGGTTTTAAAAAGCCCTCTCTCTTCCCTTGATGAGTTTTTCAGTATAAGTGAATGATCTAGCATGGGATTACTGAGACACATATTGCAACCATATGCAATATCTTTAGGGACCATAATGAATGGTTTATGTATCACTGTGAGACAGTGACTGTATGCAACTCCAGAGGAGTAGGGCTGCCACAGCTTTGCCAGGAACTAAGAACAGTACAATGTGTTGCAGAGCGGCAGCTCCCTGGCTCCTTCCCAAGCATACATTTCTGTCATCCATTTATCCATCCATCAGAATGTATACAGACCTCATTTCTGTAGCAGTAGGTATCTGTGCACCTCATTTTAAAATCACAGGATACCCCAAATCCTCAGTTGGGACAGCTGTCCCAACTGAGGATTTGGGGTATCCTGTGATT